CAGTTCTCACTGACATCTCCCACGTTGAGGATGAGGCCCATATTGAGCCCCCCCCCTCCAGAGCGCGAGGGAGAGGCCGAGGTTATGGTCATGGCGGACGTCGCGGCCGAGGTCAAGGTGCGGGTAGAGGTAGAGGTCGAGGTCCAGCTGCAGATCGTGATACAGTTGCACCAGATGAGGGAGTTTCACAGCTCACAGCAGTATCCGATCTTCGGCCAGAGACAGGATCAAGGGCAGCACATGCAGGAGAGGGAGTGCCACGGGATACGCATTTACGATTGGGGGAGCCAGATATTCAGAGAGTCTACCGCAGGAGACCGAGGAGGGAGGTCCACGGTCGGGGTTGTGGGACTAGGGGCATGTTAGGGCATTAGCCGGTGTGATATGGAGTGTATAGTTTTTTTTATTTATAGTTTTTGTAAATTAAACTTGTACAGAGGATGTAAATGTGCCATACTTATTTATTCGAAAATAGAATTTTACAATTTTTTATTCTTACTTATTTTAAACATTTCCTAAATACTTCAAATATTCAAATCATGATGTCACAATGGATTTAAGAATACTTTTTTTTTTTAAATACACACACAAATTTCAGACTACATAAGACTACCCAAAAAAAATAAAAAAAGGTACAGAACCTGATAATATAATAAAAATTTGAAGAACATTGATTTTTTTAAACAACGTGCGCACACACACACATACAACATTAAGAAAACAAAAACACAAATTTTATATACTTTGCTTCCCCCCCCCCCCAAAAAAAAAAAAAAGAAACAAAAAATCACTTATATAGAATATGATTTTGGAGTTTTATATCAATTCATTTTAAACTGTAAGACCTAGGTTATTATTTATATATATATATTGACATTTAAAATAGTATTTTAAATGTCAATGACATTTTTAAAATAATAAGAATAATAATGGTTATTTTGATTGAAAATAAAGTGATTACGATATTATTATCTATGAAAATTCTAATATAATGGTGATGTCTATTACTATTGACATGCAAATATAATTAATCTCAATGAAAATATAGGATTTATTAATTGTTAGTTATATTTGACATGTAGCATTCATTCTCCATGTGTTTCTTTACTATTGGTTAGTGATATCACATGTTAATGATGACGTGGTATAACTTTTATATTGAATTTTTACGCATATTTTGTATAAAAAAATTACTTTATCATTATATAATTTATTTTAAAATTTTATATTCATGACTTTTTTTTAATATCGTCCATGATACACTAATTACAAATGACATTATTTTTTTTTAATCTTTCTTGAAGTCAATCATGAAAAATTATGCGAAATATTTTTATAATAATTTTAATGTTTTAATCAATAAATGTTCCATTTAATTTAATTTCTTCGTTCTGCCACTAGTGGTCCTGCCTTCATTGCCTTCTTATACATCGATTAGCGCCGGAAGTTGGAGTTAAAAGAAGAAAAAAAAACATCCGCAGCAGTAAAACAGAAGAATTAAAAAGAGACCATTCTAGATGTTGAAAACTTAAAAATTCATCCTAAAAATTTAGGGAGAAGCTGTTAAACCCGCTGCTGCTGATCAGCTTTGGTTAATTGTATGGACCAAAAATGGTTCTATGAAGAGCTGTTGGAAAAAGAAATGTCGTTATCAAAATTAATTTATGTCGGTGTGGCCTCGTGAGCCTCATGCTGGTTATCAAAATTAAAATCATGAATTATTTTGGGGTGGCCGCGTGAGCCTCATGCTGGTCGACAATAAAGGTTGATTTCACATGTTTAAAAAAAAGTTAAAAAATTAAAAAATTATTATTCTATTTAAATCATATCATTTTATTTAAATCACATTATCGCTTTAATATTTCACTTTAAACTCAATTCAAACCCAATTTATATTTAATAAAAAGTCAAAAAGTACACTTATTTAAATTTTCTAAACAACCTGCTAGGTTTGGCTTCCTTTTCGTCTATGATCAAATTGTAATGTGCTATTAAAGTTATGGGACACCTTACAGATTTTATTTTAATAATTTATACCATTCAATATAAGTGTTGGGGAAGTTACTATTTTTATAAGTTATTTTAGTTTTTAACTATTTTAGTAGGTTAAAATTTTGTATTTAGGAAGATGATTGGATTTTTTTGTAATTAGATATGATATTTGTAAGAAAAAAAATAAAATGATTATAGGTTTGATGTGACATTTTGTCTTATTAATTATTTTAATCTATTTTGTCTTTTTGTGAATTTTAGCTTAAACCACTCTACTTTTTTCTTGCCAAATACTCTCAATATGTAAAACTCGTCGAGTACTATATGTCTGTAAAAAATCACATTGATCGGATTAGTTTTTGTTTACCAGTTAACTATAACACCATCCTTTTTTTTTATATATAAAATTGATTTGATCATATAGTTGGCGATATCCGATCAATGTGATTTTTTACAGGCATGTAGTACTCAACGAGTTCTACATATTGACGGTTCAGATTATCAAAATGTGACCTGTGGTGGCCTCCACGGGTCGAACAACACGGTCTAAATGGTTGCCCGCAAAGAAGGCAATCATTTCTAGACCAGTACAGTAAACCAATCACACGGATAGCCCATCACTTCAGCAAAAAGTTGAGTTGTATTTTTTTATGTGTAAATTTATTTTTTTGTATTTTTTTTTATGAATAATAATAACTTTTTAACTTTTTAAGTAACGTTTTGACTTTTTGTCTTTTTAAAGACATGCCAAACCAGGCCTTACCCAAACAAGATCATCCACCACTCGGGTAATTCATTGGGAATAAACCCACCTGAGTAATGGAAGTAAAGAAAAATAAAACAGACACACATGACATAATTTAAATTGATAGATAAAAACAATTGACTGACAGTAAAAATTACAAATTATGAGACTAATACACTCCTTAGTATTTTTTAATCTACTAACATTTATCTATCTAATTTCAAAATTTTACTTTAAAACTTCAAAATTAACTATCTGGAATCGTCGATCCTCAACTGCGAAAACACTTGGGACACACATGTATCTGTACCTATATCCGCACCTGTATTCCAAAAATCATCCACGGTCACATCATCTTCATCGATTGTCATGCTATCAGAAGGTAACCGATGAGCAATAGGTACCGACAACACCCACGATACGTCCGTTGTGCTATCCTCACGAGGTTCTTTGTGCGTTGCAGTCTGTTGAAGTTTCAGTGCATATTCCAAATCCCACAAAACATCAGCCATGTTCGGCCTCTCAACTCCGTACTCTTTCAAACACTTGTCCACAATTTCCCCAAACGTTCTCAGCGAATTGGGACTAATATTCCCTGCGATCAATGGATCAACAATTTTCCAGAGCTGTCCTTTTTTTTGACAAGACAAGCCCCATGCCGCCAAGTTCACTTGCTCCCATGGAAGCTTGTTGTTAATGGCCGGCCTTGCACATAGCACTTCTAGTAGAACCACGCCAAATGAGTACACATCGGATTTTTGAGTTAATTGGAAGAATTTGAAGTACTCCGGATCAAGATACCCAAAACTGCCCTTCACTTCTGTGCTGATATGGGTTTGATCGAGAGCTTCTAATCTTGATAAACCAAAATCAGCAACTTTAGCGACATAATCATCATCAAGCAAGATGTTTGTTGACTTAACATCGCGGTGAATTATGCCTCGGTCTCTGTGAAGATATTGTAGACTCTTGGCAGCCCCAATGCATATCTCAAGTCTTCGATTCCATGATAATTTTGACTCTGAAAATGCTTTATCCAAATCTGCATTTGAATTGTACAGATGACTCCTCAGAGTACCCTTTTCCATGAACTCATAAACAAGGATCATCTCGGATTCTTCGTCACAGTACCCAATTAAGGAAACAAGATGGCGGTGGCGAATCTTTGACAAGACCATGATCTCTGTCTGGAATTCTGGAAGGCCCTGGCCGTGCCCTGGCTGACTTCTTTTGACAGCAACTTTTTCACCACTCCGAAGAGTTCCTCTGTAAACTTTTCCAAACCCGCCCTCACCTATCATCAACTTGGAGTTGAAATTTTTAGTTGCATACTGAATTTCAGAAAGAGATAACTTTAACCCGAGATTCAGATTGCAAACCGGAGAGGGAATGGTCTGCCAATCCGAATTCTCAACAGGTTTGGCTATTCTGAATTTATATGTCATGACAAACACTGCAATAAATAAAAACACGAAAGCCACACCTCCAAGAACTGAACCAACTATAACAAGAAGAAGATGTGTCTTTGATAGTTTTTTCAAATCAGGACTCAATCCCCCTATTATCTCCATGATCTCTAGCCCATTTAAAAAAGCAGTTTGGTTATTTGAATCTTGCCGTGGGCCAATGCTGACATTTATAAATCCAAAATCATCGGAATCAACCACAAAATCATAGTAAAACGGAGCTGCCAATTGGGGAATAACCTCATACAGATCAATTTTCTGACTGAACGTACTAAACACGTAGAGATTGAACTTGAAATTGCCAGGGGACTTGCTTATTATGTCGCAAAAATGTACCCGAACGAGATTTGGAACATTCTTACTCACAGTGAAATTCGATGTTATGTTGAAAAAAGTGGATCCCTTTCCAGGATCTATATTCATTTCTTTAGCAGTCTTATAAACAAGATCAGGAGCAATATAATCAGTAGCTCCTCCATCCTGATAATTAGGCCTATTGCTATAGAAATTGCTGTTCTTCGCAGCAGCGATGACTGATTATAGAAACCCATCATCTGGTACCCAATTCCTCCAGAGTGTGTCATTTTCCGGTGAGAGTGCGCCACCTCCAACATTAATCCGATGAACCGGATGAAGAACGCGAGAGAGCAAGCCGTCGTAAGTACTGTTACTTCCAGAAGAAGAAACGCGATTCCTGGAATTTACAATGAAGTTGTCTGGGACGAGAAAAACTTCGAGTGCGTTTACAAAAGCAAACGATGAGTTTTTAGAAGGTTTGAAATCGATCGTGAATTTTCTTGTTTTGATGGTGAGTGTAAGAATAAATTGATGTATATTATTGATTTGTGTATATTACAAGATTGATGTCTATCTGTATATTGATTACAACTCCTATATATAGAAGAGAAGGTAGCAGATTGTGGTGGTGCTGGTAGGGGTGAAGTGGAGGTGGTAGGTAGAGTTGAGTGTGTTAGGTGAAGTGGAGGTGGTAGGTGGAGTACAATTTACATTTACAATTTACATTAACAGCCCCCCTCAAACTCAAGGAGGATAGGCACTAGCCAACTTGAGTTTGGAGAGAGTCACAAAACAGAAAAATAAACTGATAAATAAAACAGGATAGGAGACACGGTATGGTCGTGTCAGACCGATGTAGCAGACAGTTTATGGGGTCATGTCGGACCGTTGTAGAAAATTGTGGTGGTGCACCAAGGGGGTGACTTAGGGAGTGCGCCATGGGCGACTTATACATTATACTGGTATAACCCCCCCTCAAACTCAAATAGGTGTGAAGATAGAAACCTATTGGAGGTTGAAAAGGGATTTATAATGCTGACCGGTGGAGAAGACACTGTATGAGTGTGTATATAGGCTGCCCAAAAAATATACATGGATGCAGATATCGAGCCCTCAAAAGTCGTGCCCTCAAAAGGTGTGCTCAATATGTCAAAAGGCGTGCCATCAAAAGGCGTGCCCGAATGCATCAAAAGGCGTGCCAGTTTGTCGGTGAGAAGAGGCGCGCGATGCGCGTGGCTGCCTCGGCATCAAGGTCTTTATAAATCGAAGCGGAGGCTGAGGCTGAGGCAGAAAACCCGCTAAAAAACTCTGAAAAACTTCTTCGTTGTGCTGAGAGAGAGTGTCTGTAACACTCTGTTTGGTTGTGCGGAGAGAGAGGGTCTGTAACACT